AAAATACACTCGTTTTAAGAGTTTCACAGCTGAGAACATGAAACATTTTCAGGTTATAGACTTTTCTTTTTGGTTGTCACAGAGGAAAGTAGTTTCTGAAATCTTTTTTTTTTTTTTTAGGAAAATAACTTAATTTCCTAAAATCATCCCAGGCACAAACATCACACATACACACACACACACACACACACACACACACACAAAGAAGCTACTTGCCTTATAAACAATTTGTAAAGTACTTTTCAGACATAACTACAGATAAGAATAACAACACTTGCTTTTTTAAAAAACTATAATAGTGAAGTGTTAGTGTTGCTGATCTCACCACAAACATCTTAATATATAAAATATGTTTAGAAACAGGGAGAAGTGGGAAATTTGTTATGCAAGTGCAATATAATTAGCGCCAAAAGAAAGACCACAGTATAATCTCAACAAACACGTAAAAAGTATTATTCCACAGGAAAAAGTGTAAACACGTGACTATAAATTAATTGGCACAGAGTATCCAAAGTAAAGTTATCACCACTCTGAAAAATAAATGTCTTGGAAAAAATACTCTACTCCTTCTAACATAAATAAAAATAGGTAGTCTTTTTCTAACTGCACCTATGGGTCCACGCATTTAAGGTCACGAATAGATGTTTTTGGATATATAAAGGGGCACTTTGCCTGAAAACGCAGTCAGATATTAAGTTTTCCATTTAAATATGGATTTTCCTGTCTACATTAGAGTCATACTTCAGGGTTCAGTTCCCACCAAGCTCAGATCGTCCCACACTGGGTCTGTCTGTTCTCACTGTATCTTTTTGAGCTTACCAAGTATGCAATAGGGCTTGTCTGTTGTAGTTGGAGTCTAATCTTTCTTTTCGCATCTGAATAGAAAGTTTCCTGTTCCACCTTCAGGTGCCTAAAATCTCTACCCTGGAAGACATTCCCTCCCTCCCCCTCCGGATGTTTGGTGATTTGTCAATTAGAAAAACCCAGATCGACTGAAGTTATGAGCCTATACTCGGAGCTTCTGCCCTCATTTTTTCAAAACTTGAAGATTCGTGGGAGATAAACTAAGGAGAACTCCAAGTCTCCAGTGAGCCAAAGGAAACACCCTTAAAGGGATCCTAACGCTGGGAGGGGAGGCCTGGGGGCGGCCCATCTCCAGTGCCCCCCCGGAGGTCCGCCGGCCTGGGAAATACCCCCTGCAAGCCCCACAGCTTGCCAGACAAGCCCACCTTCCAGAGTGGGAAACCTTCCCTCGTCCCCCTGCTGATCCGAGAGAACGCAACACGCTGGTAACTTCTTCCACGGTCCAAGTCTCCCGGGTCTGTCTCGGTCCCCCGACATCCAGACCCGCAGCTCCGGCAGCGCGCCCGCCCCTACACGTCCAGGACGTGGTTGAGATAGGAGATGTAGCAGATGGCCAGGCGCAGGATCTCGATCTTGGAGAGCTTCTTGTCGGGGGGCAGCGTGGGCAGCAGTTTGCGGAGCTCGGCGAAGGCCAGGTTGAAGGCCTCCACGCGGATGCGCTCGCGGGTGGCGTGAGCCTTCGACACGTTGCCCAGCACCTTGGCGTCTGCGCCGCCCAACGACTCCGGATCCGAGTGCGCCGAGCTAGGGTGGTCCGAGTCGGCGGCTTGGTCCGGACTCAGCATCATTTTGGAGCTGAGGGGGAGTCAGAAAATCAATCAATAAAAGGAATCAGGGTCTTTGATAGGTGTGGGAGCGGGGGACGGCCTCCCCCAGAGCCTCCGCGTCCGGCCTCCTTCCCACCCCAGGCCCGCGCGCTCGGGGGAGCTGGCCCGGCGGGGAGGGAGCCGTCTCTCCTAGGCAGGGCCGCATCCTGGACCTGAGACCTCGGCCTGCAGGAGGCCCAGCCCGGGGACAACCGCAAGCCTGTGACGCCTGGGTTTTGTGCGCCTCGGGCCATAGACCAACTCCATCATTCTGCCTTCCTCACTTCATTTCCTTCGTTGACAAATGACGAAGGATGAACACATCTGGCTTTGGGGGGGAAGGAATCCGGCTCGCGGGCCTCGCGCTGTTCTGGGGTACAGGGTGGGGCGCCCAGGGCTGGAGAGGGGTCCGGTCCCGCGGGCAGACTGGGAGCAGGCCCAGAGCTCGAAGGCATCCTGGTCCCCCCCAGTGCTTCTCCGAAATCATAAAGAAACGACTAAACAAACCGAGGCTCCTTTCAGCACAACAGAGGCGCTCGTGCCCTCGCAGGCTCCCGAAGCACCATCTGTCACGCAGGCAGCCACACACATCAGGGACCCAGGGACGCGGAGACTTGACCTGCGATAAGACAATGCGCCCAGCAACCTGCCGACCACTCCCGGGAAAACGCTGGCGGCCGGGGCGCTGCAGGAGGAGAGGCCGGGGAGGAAGGGAAAGGCAGGGCGCGGGACCGGAGGAGGTGGGCAGGCCTGGCCCCAGCTACACCTCTGCCCGCAAAGTTTGGGTGCTGGGGGGCCAAAGCCCAGAGCCCGCCGCCCTCCCGGATGGCCTGGCCAAGGCCTGGCAGGTCTGTCCCCAGCTTTTTCCTCTGACGCTGGCTTCCTGGAAAGGTCCCCTTGTCCGGCTCCTCCGGCGTCTAGAGTTCGCCCCTCCTGCGCGCCTTTGGGAAGGGAGCGGCCCAGGATCGCTGGGCTCCGGGGGAATTCGGCGTCTAGAAAGGGGCCGGCACCTGCGGGTACCAAGCGCAACTACTGCGGGCGCCCTGGGCGTAAGGACCAAGCTGGGAGCCTGGGGCCCTGCGTGTGCAGCCGGAGCGACCTGGCCGGGGAGAAACCCGCATGGGCGCCAGGGTTTGCTTCCAGAGACAAAAGCGGGGACGCGCGATCCGCTCCCAGCACCGCACTGGGTTAGGAGCGAATTTGGCTTCAAGACAGCTTTCGTTTCCCTTCGAGGAAAACATGTCCTCTAAGGCAAAATAAAAACAACCCTCCAAGTGAACTACCTGTGATTCCCTGTGGCTTTTAACGGATACATTTATAAGTAGAGCAACTTGCGCCTACACACTGGCTTGAAAGGGTATAAATAAATAAGCAGAAAATCAGAATAAGCCACTACAGTTGTAGCTCAGGCAAAAAGTTCCTGGATTGCCCTCAAAGCATGATAAATTCTCCTCCAGATATCTTTTTTTAAATAGTCATACAAAGCACGTCGTGTGTGTATTTTATTTCTTTAACATTTGCCTGAAATGCATCTGTCAATGCAATATGAACAAACTAACTTAGTTCCACGCTGGGAAAAAAATTATTTAAAGGAGCCTTACCTTGTAAAAGCCTTTTCGATAATCTTTTCTCCAATCTTTTAGAGTTAAAATTCCAGGGAATACAGGGGAGGGACTCCGAAATATATTAAAAGCAGAAAATATTTATTACATTCAAATATGAAAAAGCAGCTGTCATCTCGCCGGTGTCCACACTGAGGGACGATACTATCTCAGGATGTGGACCGGATCAGTGATTGTTTACTTAGCTGATAGATCAAAACGCCTTTGCCTTTTAATTGTTCACAAACATTTCGGGAAATTCGTTGTTGATTTTCTTCCCCCCAAAAAACCACGGGAGGTGTTGAAAAGTCTCCTGCCTTTTCTCCTCTTCTAGGTCTCTATAAATAACAAAAGAGATGCAGAGATAAACACAGTCACATCAGAGGGCTGATTCCTCCACTTTCTAATAGCAGAAGAATCAATAAGAAAGATGGTTAAGATAAGATACGGCTCCTGTAGGATTCCTTTTCCTCCCCTTAACAGGGCTGAGCAGAAACTGGGAAGTACAAGGCAGAGATGCGATCTAGCTCAGAAGTGATTTTTTTTTTTTGAGATAAGGCTTTGTTCAGCTGATGTCTCCCCAGTTCCCAGGAACACAATACTATAACTCGGGGCTAAGCGTGTCTCTTCCTCTTCCCACATCTACTTGTATGTTGTATAAACAGACACCTATTTCCAGTTTCAAAGTCTTTCCAGGCTTGGTTACATCTCCCACCCCCAACCCCCTCCTTTCTTTACCTTGTAGCAAAATAGACATAGTCAGTGGCTTGGAGATGCTTGGAGAAAGGGTGGTGGAAAGTGAACGTCTCCAGCAGGAACAGTGGCTGGGAAGCTGAGAAAGACGGAAGAGGGTGGCAGAGCCCAGCAAAGAGGCAGAGATGCGCCTGGCTTCTTAGCTCTCCTGGTACCAATTGATTCAGCCTGGAGATGGTGGAAGAGATAAAGGCTTAAGAAGGGGGATGGAATTTTTTTTCCCCTAAATTGATATTTAATGGGAAATCCTATTGGACAGAAACCTGGACATGAGTCACTTAATTGGACTTGACATCTGTCACAGGGTTGGAGTTTTCACAGCCCAAATATTTTAGCAGATCGGATTCCCACTGAATCTGTGCCATAAAATATAACATTGCAAGCAGTCCATGGTAGAAACTTTAGCCTCTAAGCAGAATATGTAGCCATAATCAGACTATTTCTCTTTTTCTGACGATTGATGCACGTAAACAACATATTGACCATGGAAAAATTATCCTGGCATATTACAAAGCCAGCATCTTCCTGTAATGTGTAGGAAAATATTTGTGTCCAGAACATGGAAATATATACTGTATATGGTACTGCAATAAACATATTCAGATATGCACTAGCCACCCTTTTTAGTGATCATTTCCACTTCAAAGAACACTTCAACAGGCTTGATTAAGCTTCTTCCTATTTTTCAGAGATATCTTGCCACTGGACTAATTTTCCAATATATGATAAAAACAACAACAACAACCCTTTCAATAGATTGTCATAGGTGGAGCTGGGAATAGAATCCAGGCATTATAATGGCAGGGATCACTAGACGAGACCATTGGACTTTCTGAATATATTTGTTTTCCTCTCCACCCTCTCATCCATTCAACTTAAACTGTGGCATCCCCCAGGTGTTGATTATGCTGCTCATTCTTGCTTGTTTTCATCTATGACTATTTCGCCGTGTGGCAGTGCATTGGGCCAGGATGTAAACACATACAAATCACCAGTGTATTCCAACACGTAATGCCTTTGCCTTACACGACCCCATGCCTCTGAATTTATATGCCTTATAACAAAAGGGAAAATCTAGTTCAATTATTTTGCCACTGTGAGCCACCATCAGTTACAAATTATTTGCAATTATTTTAGCTTTTTTTTTTTTTTGATAGTGCAAGCATGAAAGAAATAGAGTATTATAGCTCACCGCCACCCTCCCTCCCCAGTCCCTGGGGGAACTTTGGTGGAGAGAGGAGCCCTCACTTGCCCTCTGAGATCAGTTTTGCCGAAACACA